AAAAAAAAAAAAGTAAAAAACTGAAACAGAACAAAACAACCCTATAAAACCACAAAAATGAAAATCAAAACAAACATGCAAAAGACAAAAAAAAAAAAAAAACAAATAAAGCAATAAATAATATGAGACAAAAAGTCCACAGAAATGCCGTTGAGTTTATTTCATATTGGCCAATGACTTTGATGCATGGGGCCTCCCCTGAAATGTGGCTAATAAACCCATGGAGATGCCACTGGAGAAAACTGATTTTCCCCTTTCCAGCGGGTACCAATCGCAGTTAGCTTCTTGGGTGGGGGAGGAGCCTGTGTCCACTTTTCCCTCACAATGGCGGGACACAGGCTTGTACCTGTGAGGGTCTTACGAATCTTACTGCAGTCTCTGTGGGTTTGTATGCGTATTGGTCTTTTTGTGTCTTGAAGATATGGTTTCCTTGAGGTCATCCACCACCTCTGGCTCTTGCGATCTTTCTGCCTCCTCTTCTGCATGGATCCCTGAGCCTTGAGGGGGAGAGGTTTGTTGAACACATCTCATTTAGGACCGAGCATCAAAAAAAATCCCTCGCTCTCATTGTCCAGCTGTGGGCCTCTGTGTCATTTCCATCTATTTCAAGAAGCAGCTTCTCTGACGATGGCTGAGTGAGACACTGATCTCTGGTACAGCAGTCTCATGAGGAGTAGTCACTTTATTGGTATGTTCCCTTAGCAGAATAACAGTGTTAGGTATTCCCCTAGACTTTCACAATGTAGCAGTTTCAGACCTGGTTTCCATCACATGGTGTGGGCCACCAGCTTTCTTTTTCCTTTACCCTGTGTTTAAGGTTGCTGTGAAAACAACGTTGTCTCCCTTCCCAGGAGAAGGACGGAGTTTGGGGGTGTTGTGCTGAACACCACGCAGAGGAAGCACAAAACTCAACATTTGCAGCATCCCCTACTCCGCTTAATGCTTTTCTTTATAGTCGGAGCCTTTATTCTTAGCCCCAGTGTATATTACGTTTCCCGTCTACTTACAAACAGTAAAGAACAGTGTGCATTTGAGGCCAGTGTGGCTGTGGCTGAGTGTAAAAGTGGAATTCATCCATGCATAGTCAGATCCTGTTTTTAAATTAAAAAAAAAAAAAAAAAGGAATCTGCTTTTTCACTTAAGTATTTACAAATCCACAATTTTAGGTTTCTGATGTGAAAATGAGTAAGTGGAGTTACAATGTTTTTCTGTGGGAAAGAGAGAGCATAATAGCTGAAGACAGCCTGGAACACTTATGTATGTATGTATGTATGTATGTATGTATGTATGTATGTATGTATGTATTTAGTTATTATGTATGTATTAGTATGTATGTATGTATTTAGTTATTTATTTACTTATTTTTGAGACAGGGTTTCTCTGTGTAGCTTTGCACCTTTCTTGGAACTCACTCTGTAGCCCAGGCTGGCCTCGAACTCACAGAGATCTGCCTGCCTCTGCCTCCCGGGTGCTGGGATTAAAGGCGTGTGCCACCACCGCTCAGCTGGAACACTAATTTGTTTGGAAAGATTTTTCAGGGCTGGAGAGGCCCTTCAGTTGGGAGAGTGCTTGGCTTAGCAGGCATGAAGTCCTGAGTTTCATTTCCAGCACTGCGTACGGCAGATAGGATGGCCTCTGCTGGTGACCTCAGCACTTGGGAGTAGATACAGGAGGATCAGGAGCTCAAGCTGGTTCTTCTTGGCTGCATAGTGGGTCAGAGGTTGCCCTGGGTTGCAGTGAGACCCTGTCTTAAAAACAGAAAGAAAACAGACTTTTCCATGTGTGTGTATGTATGTGTGTGTGCGCGCGCGCGTGCGCTTGTGTGCGCGCATTGTAATGAAATTATTTAGCAGAGTTATAAACTTCTGGGCTATGAAAACATCAATATTTATTTATTATTTATTTTGAAAATTCTGCCTGAATCCCTCCCTGTTCTTGAAGCCTCACAATGAATGCAAAATCACCCCAGAAGCTGCTGTGCACGTGGGTCAGCGAGGAAAGAAAAGAGGGGGTGGGGGTGGGGGGTAGGGGTGAGGACCAGCTTTGCCTAAGGGGATGAACTTGCACAACCCATCCTTTTTTGGGAGTGCACTTCCTGCATCCTTGCAGTGGCCGTGTTCCCAAGGCACTGAGGAAAATCAGGGGGGATATTGCAACATGTCACCCATGGGAATGGACGTGTGAGCGAGTGTAAAATTGAAGCCATCTGTAAGAACCGTGGAGACGACGGAAGGGCTATTGCCCAAAGAAGTGAAATACCCAGGGCCTTCTTTGCAAATTGTCCTCTGCTGCTGACGTTGCCACCCCCGTGAGTCAGATTAACACCACAAGGAGAAGACTTGGATCCTCTCATTTTGACACTTATTACAGCAGATTTTCCACATATGGTTTCAGGTTGGTTGCCTATCTTAAGCTGTGGGTGTGTGTATATGCTCATTTTCTCCTGTTAGGGGTGATTACGGATATTGATATGAAGTTAGAATGAGGTGGATGGTGGTGTTGCACGCCTTGAATCCCAGCACTCGGGAGACAGAGGCAGGTAGATCTCTGAGTTCGAGGCCAGACTGATCTACCAGAGTGAGTTTTAGGACAGCCAGGGCTGTTGCACAGATAAATTCTATTTCGAGAAAACAAACAAACAAAAAAGAAGTTTGAATGATTTGAATGTCAACAGTAGGAAAAAAAAAAACAGATACACAGTAACCAAGTGTTTGAGAAAATAGTTTAGTATAACTATGAAAAAAAAAGCATGAGATTGAAGTCATAAATATTTATATTAATTTTATGTGTGTTTGCCTGCATGTATTTATGTGTAACATGCATGTGCCTCGTGCCCAAAGAGGTTAGAAGACAGCCCTAGATCCCCTGGAACTGGAGTTATAGAAGGTTGTGATATAGCACTGTATAGGTGCTGGGAACTGAACCCAGGTCCTCTGCAAGAGCAGCAAGTGCTCTTAACTGCTGAGCCGTCTCTGCAGCCCAAGACTGAAGTCTCCTAACAAAAGAATTAGTCAATGTTCTATTTCTGTGAATGGACACCATGACCATGGTAACTCTTGTAAAAGGAAGCAGTTAACTGGGGCTGGCTTACAGTTCAGAGGTTTAGTCCCTTGTCATCGCGGCAGGAGAGGAGGTAGCTGGGAGTTCTACATCCAGATCTGCAGGCAGCAGGGAAAGATAGGCACTGGGCCAGGCTTCAGCAGAACTCTGGAGACGGAGGTGGAGGCAGAGGCAGGTGGATCTCCATGAGTTCAAGGCCAGCCTGGTCTACAAAGTGAGTTCCAGAACAGCTAGGGCTGTTACAAAGAGAAACCCTGTCTCGAAAAACAAAAAAGCAAATAAACAAAAGAATGGGAAACTCCAAAGGTCAATGCCAGTGGCACACTTTCTCCAACAAGGTCCACAAGACCACACCTCCTAATCCCGGTCAAGTAGTTCCACTCCAAAATGACCAAGCAGTCAAATATATGAGCCCATGGAGGCCATTCCTATTCAAACCATGGCGCCCATATACTGGTCTTGTATATCATTCTACTTTTGCTATCAGTGTTCATGAACAAATCACATCAATCCTCAGAAGAGAGAATCTTGTTCTTTTATTTTTTCCTTTGGTTTTTCAGGACTTGATTTCTCTATGTAACAGCTCTGGCTGTTCTAGAACTTGCTCTTTAGCCCTGTAGACCAGGCTGGCCTTGAACTCACAGAGATTTGTCTGCCTCTGCCTCCAGAGTTCTGCTGGCACTAAAGGTCTGCACTGCCAGTGTGCCGCTAGGCCCGGCAAGAATCTTGTTCTTGAAAGTAAAAGAGAAAGAGATGGTGTAATGATGCGGCTCACAAGAGTCCTTGGCGGGTTTGGACCAAGGTGTCCTTCAGTGAGGAAACATGCCATGCAGTCTATGGGAAGTTTCTCACACCGCAGACACCATGTCCACATGGCAGGATTATTTGGGGGGAAGGGGAGAGGGAATGGAGAGGAGAAGAACAAGAACAAGAAGAACAACAAGAAGAAGAAGAGCATGAACAAGAAGAGGAAGAAGAAGAAGAAGAAGAAGAAGAAGAAGAAGAAGAAGAAGAAGAAGAAGAAGAAGAAGAAGA